AGCTGCCGCCGGAGCTGCTGGTGGAGATCTTCGCCTCGCTGCCCGGCACCGACCTGCCCAGCCTGGCCCAGGTCTGCACCAAGTTCCGGCGCATTCTCCACACTGACACCATCTGGAGGCGGCGCTGCCGGGAGGGTGAGTTCCCGCAGGGGCACATAGGGGATGACTTGGGTCCTGGGAGGGGTACCCTCCACAGATCCGGGGTGCATGGGGTCCTCGCCGGGGTAGAGGCTCGTCCTGGGAGGGCGTACTTGGTGAGGGCCACAAGGGAACTGAGAAGGGGTGCATGGGGGAGTGACCTCAGAGGCCTGGGAGTGGGGGGGCCGGGCTAGGTGGAGTTCCCAGGTGGGGAGCGGAGCCTGGCACTACCCGCACTGGGGCCTCAGAGAAGGGCTGAGGGGTGATCCCAGCTGCAGGGGCACAGGATTATGCGGAGTTGAGGAGGGTAACGCGAGCTAGGGTTAGGGGTTCACTGCAGTACGGAACCCTGGAGGAGAATAAACTGATGTCTGTGGGTTCTCTCATCATCCCCAGCCCTTGGGGAGTGGGCCTCAGGGCACCCCAGAACAGAGATAGGGTGAACTTGAATAAAGTTAGGGGAGCAGAGTCGCCTGATGGTGGGTGGATTCAGTTTGTGGAGAGGTGGGAGGGGGCCAGGAGCAGTGCTGGGAGAGGGATTGTCTGATGCATTTGATCAAAATCGAGGGGTGCTGGTGGCAGTAGGGAGGGGACGTCCACCTTTGTAGGAAGTCACAGGAGGAAAGGGTTACTGTACTCAGTCTAGAGTTCAAGGCTCTCTGGGTTTAAACATTGACATGTCAGATCAGCTCTGTATTTGGGTTAAAAGGATAGGTTAATACAAACAAACAAGCAGTGCAGCACAGCAAAAGGAAGAAAGTGGAAATCATCAGAGACCCCTGCAATCAGAGGCAAACCACTCTTAAACATTTAGTAAAACGTCTTTTTCCATATACACAATAAAGACATGTATGTATTTTGTCCCAACTAGGTCATACCGTCTATGTTCCACTGCATACATACAGCACAGACTAGCCCCTTACTGGTAGTCCTTTAAGTTTTCAGCTTTTCCTTGTTATAATCAGTGCTATGAAGAGTGTCTTTGTGAACTTTGCAGAAACTTAGAGTTACATGTGTCTTATAAAACCTCTGGCATTATCTTCCTAGAGTGTACTCTAGGAATGTGGGGTAACGGGGTATGCACATTAAATAAAACCTTTGGATATCCATTGTCCAGCTGTTCGAATTTGCACTCCCAAGAAGGATGCATGGGAAGGCCTGTTTCCAAACCCTCCTAATACTGGGGTTAGTCATCTCATCTTTTTGATGGTTGAGACCCCAGATTTGTAATCAGCTGACTTGGGTTGTGGTCTCGGCTCTACTTATTTGTGAGACCCTAGACGAGTTGCTTCTCCTTGCCATGTCTTCATGCTCCATGTCTGTGGAGTGGGGATAACAGTGGTGCTGTTCCTTTGAGGGTTAAATGCACACAATGCCCCTAAATGGTAGCTGTTTTGTTAGGATGCTTCTTGGTCGTTTTTGTTTCACCTTTGGTGAATTTCCTGTTTCTGTTTTTGTCTTCTTTTTTTTCCCTTGGGGTGTCTTTTTGTCTCATTAATTAGTAAGAACTCTTTGAATATTAGCAATATTAACCTTTTACCGTATGTGGCAAATAAAGTTTCTTTTTACATTTTAAAACAGATGCAAAGATAAGCTTACTTTCTTGTTCTTTGTGAACCTTTTTATTTGCTTTATCTAGCTTTTGTCTGGTGATAAGAGCCAGACTAATTACCAAGTCCCATTGTACTTGGAGGAGTTTTTCTATCAGTCAACTGGACCTGTTTGGTGATCTCGAGGGGCTTGTCTCTGGGGAACTATCAGGCATATGGCTCAATCCTAATGGACAGAGAATAACAGAAGATTTTTTTGTGTGATAGAAAAACTCAAAGGTATCCCACAGAATAAACAAAACTGGAATTACAGCTCAAGGAGAGTTTTTAGAATTGCTAGTGGAACATAAGCAGTCCTGGTGAAGATGCAGCGAGAAGTTGGGGACGGAGGTACGTAGAAGACTCCAGTGCTTCCTTCACAGCTTTCGTGGGACACCATCATGGTGTAGAAAAGCCTCTTACTCACTTATGTGGCCTTACGACAGTAGGGGAACTTTTAGTTTGAGAAATTAAAAAGTGAAAAACAACCACGATAAGACATGTACTCTGTCACTCCTAACAAATAAGCGTTAAATCTTTTGTCATATTTGCTTTTTTGAAGAATAATTTATTATTTTGTTGTTGTTGAGAATATACACAGCAGAACATACACCAATTTAAGTTTCTACAGATAGAATTCAGTGACATTGATTACATTTTTTGAGTTGTGCAACCATTCTCACCCTCCTTTTCTGAGTTGTTCTTCCATCAGCATAAACTCACTGCTCCCTAAGTCATATATGCTTTGGAGTTCTCTACTTTTTTTTTTTTTTTAAAGAAAACGTCTTAGCTAAACACTCAAGTCCCCTCTGATCACCATTCTCCTTCCACTCCAAGCAGCATTGTCATGAGCTTCCTTTGCATTCTTTCAGGCCCTTTAAAAGTATACCTGTATGTATCACCAATATCTAATGTAGTTTTGTGGTATTTTAATTTTCAGAACTATATCGTTATATGTGTCATTCTGCATCTTTTTTCTTCACTCAACGTGTATTTTTAAATTCTATGCATGCTAATATATTTAAGTCTCTTGCAGTCTTTTTAATGCCATACTGTAGTTCATAATTTGGATAGGCTATGCTTTATTCCTCTACTTATTTTTTTCACTATAAACAGTATCACGGTGAACCATTTCATATATATTTCCTTAGACACATATATGTGCGAAAATTTCTCTAAGGACTATAACCAGAAGAGATGTTGCTGGATTACTGGGCTATTGTACTTGCAAATTTACCAGATTTGTCATTGAGTACTGTCAAGTCGATTCTGACTCATAGCAACCCCAAGTGACAGAGTAGAACTGTTCCATAGGGTTTTCTAGGCTGTAATGTTTATGGGAGCAGATTGCCAGGCCTTTTCTCCCGCCAGCTGCTGGGTAGGTTAGAGCTGCCAACTTTTTGATTAGCAGCCAAGCATTTAACCATTGCATCACGAGGGCTCTTTACCAGACACTGCCTAGTTATTTCCGAGCATGTTTTCTCTTGCTTTCACACTTATTAGGATCTAACAATGCAGGTCACAGAAGGTGGAATGAAAACGTCAGTAAGTGTCATCACAGAATAACTGCTGTTTGTGGTCTAAGCGCTTTAAGTTATGTCATTCAATTCATTTCCCCTCAGTTCTCTCCAATACAGTTAAGCATCACTTAATGTTCACGATACAGTCTGTGAAATAGAACGTTATGGGATTTGGATGTTGTGCTAACAACATATTATGGGCAGTCCCCAGGTTACGAACGTCTGATTTACGGACAACTCATTACTTAAGAACGGACTGCCACAAAGCCTATTATATTAAAAATTTGAGTTAAATACTCCTGGCAGCACAATCACTTTGTATACAAGAGACATGAGGTGCGCATACTGGGTGCAGGAAACTATTGTATTCCCTTTGTCCAGTTACGTCAGCTATGTCCCATTCTCTGATTGGGATTTCTGAACTCTTTTATAACCTTATGGGACCACAGACGTATGTATGATTGGACTTTGCCCAAAGGGACCTTATGCAGTGCATGACTGTACTTAATGATCCCTCTTTAGAAATCTGTGCCAATCTGGGTGAGAAACAGCATCTCATTTTAATTTGCATATACCTGATAACTAGTGTGGCCCCACATTTAAAAATGATATTTGTTGGCCATTTGGATTCCTCTTGTATTTGCTTATCTTTAATCTTTCCCCCCATTTTTTTCCTCATTGATTTGTGAACTCTGTTTATATAATCTGGATAGATGTCTGTTTAATATATCGAAAAACATTTCCTTGGAGTCTATCATCATTTGCTTTTCAACCTCATTTATGGTGATTTTCGTGTTACTAAAATTTATAATTTTAATCTAATCAGAGCCATGAATTTTTAAATTTGTGCTTAAGTAATTGTTTATCATCCCCAGGTTATGAAAATGCTCCACAGCTAGATTTCCAGAGCCTCACTAGTTCATTCTGGCAGCTTAATTTAATTTCAATATCATCTAGGTCAGACGTTGGACAGTTGGCAATCCTACGTGGTATCTGTAGGTGTCTCACAGAGTTCATGTCATTGCAGCTGGTATTATGTACAAGAATAGTCATATATGAGGCAGATCTGATTTTATTTCTCTGAGGCCTGAAACTTCATCTGTCCTGAATCAGACATTTGGCTATGGTAGGTTCTCATAAGGCCACAGTCACATGTTGAGTTAGGTAAAAAACAAAGCACCTGGCCCATGGGTGGAGACCCCAGCCTTGGTGAGCAGGAGCCGGGCTCTCGGCTGGTTGAGGAGATGGATCTTCTAGCCCGTCAAGATTCCTGGGGAAGTATTTCCAAGTTGAGGCCTTGGCTGAGGAATAATGGTGGCGACATTTTAGTGTCTCGGAAGGGTTGAGTGACTAATTAATAAATTTGCTTATTTAATACTCAGTGCTTACAAGTTTGCTTTTTGCATTTTAATAATTGGATTTTCCAGAATAGAAAACAAGCCACAAGATATGAGGGTGGGAAAGAGGGCAGGAGGGTCTGTGGATTTGTGTTTTATTACTTCAAAGAATTTGGGGCAATGGTTGCGTTTTGGGGTGCGTACAAGGCATGCATGTTTTTTTTTTTTTTAAATATTTTATTGTACTTCAGGTGAAGGCTTACAGAACAAATAGTTTCTCATGTAACAATAGCACACAAGGGCATGCATGTTTAAAAAGGTCTTTCTAAAATGCTAGTTTGATTGTGGGGGGTATACGCTAGAAACTTAAAATGAAATAGTTGTTTTTAATGTTTAGTGAGTAGCTCAGAATTCCAGTGTCCCATTAGCAGTAAATCAATTATTTTTATGGTTCTTTGGCCTTAGTGGCCCCCTACATGTTGCAAAGGGGAATTAACTTAGGCTGCAGTAGGTGTCGGGGCAGTGTGGATCTGTTGGATTGAGTATTTTCT